CTAATAGTAACATGTAAACTCCCAGGGCATTATTAGTCACTGGAACTAGGGATAAAGCCAGCAGGAACCATAGCCATTGTTGCCCCCGTCCTTTTCTTTTTTTTCTCAGTTGGATAGCCTTGTGTCTCTGTGTGTTAGCCTCATTATTGGCTGTGTCTACAGTCTGGTTTTTTCTTCTCCCCTTGCACATGGCTACACAGCCTAGCTCTGCATCAGTCAAGAAAGTCAATAAAGTCTCCACAGCTTAAACAATCTGGTTGATCTGGAATGGATTCAGTGTTCACCATTGATGCTATTGCTCTGTGTGGTGTTGGGAGTGTCGGATGGGCATATAGTGTTTGAGAGAGGTTTGGGATCTGGAGGGTTATATGCTTCTGGTACAAAATCTTAGACTAACTTGATACAGACTCCCTTAGATGAATATGCTTTATTTAATTGTCACTCTTCTAGAATGGGATCTGATGAGATATGAGTCCACGTCTCTCTATAAGCACATTTGCACATGTTTTATAAAGGTACCAAGAGAATGCTGCATACTGAATTGTGGATTTATTATCTTTGGACTTCCTTGAGCTTAGTCATAGGGATAGTACCTAAAGTCCATTTTGATTATTGGTGAAGACATCTGTCTCAGCAAATCTACTCTATTCTGAGAACTAGAAGAGGTTCGCTAATCAAGTTCATAGGCTTAGAGTTTCGTGAAATTTTTTTCCTTCCTATTTTATCAGTGGAGTATTCATTCTTACTCTTCTGCTGTGTTTGGCTTTATATAGTAGATAGTTGGATATTGTACAGTCACAGATAGCAGAGGATATGCATAGATCGATCATTTTGCTCTCTGGCTAAATCTGTGTTATGTATCATCACTAGGGCTTCAAGAATGTCTTGTTGGACTTTCTAGAACCCATAAGATAGAAGGCAGTCAGCTTGTTTCAGTGGATTTGTTTATGTAGTTCTGATGAAACCCAGTTCTTATTAGTTGTGGTTTGTGATACTTTATTTAAAAGTGCCATGTTTTTTACGTGGACATTTTCTTTTGGGGATGTGGGGAGGAGGGGCACTTGTCTTGCGCATGCTGGTCTCACTGATTTGTTTCCATCTTTGCTGTTACAGGGATAAGCTCTGGGGGGCCTGTGTCTCCATCCTGGCTGTGCTGCCTCGAGTTCTCAGGTTGATGCTGCAGAGCCTGCGGGTGAACAGAGCAGGGCCTAAGGAACTGCCTGTTGTGGGCCAGCTGCTTCGCCTGCTGCTACAGCATGCACCCCTGAGGACGCACATGTTGACCAATGCCATCTTAGTACAGCAGATCATCAGGAATATCACAGTAAGAGCCATATTGTTTGGGTTTCCATGCTGTTGGTACCAGAAAAGCTTCCTGGGAGGGGTGTGGGGGGGGCAGTATGATGTTGTGGGGATCGGATTCCCATACATTGACTGACTCCTTGTAATCAAGCTCAGTGTGATGATTTCTCAGGGTTCCCTCTGCTGTCCAGTACCCTGATTGTCAGTGAACCAGGGAAATGTTTTCCATATAAAAAATAAAATCAGTAATAAGAGCTTTTAAAATATTGAATTAAGGTGGCAAATAGCTTACCTAGTTGGAAAAAAGATGCAGACATCAGAGGGACTCCTACTTAGATTCTGATATTTGGCAACTTATTTTACCTGAGCTTGTTTTCCTATGGATAAAAATAGGAATAATGCCAACCTCATTGGGTTTTAGTGAATTCCAAGGTAGTTTTTAGTGTATCTGGTGTTCAATAAATCTTAGCTAGCATAAGGAGATTTTTGAGCAAGAATAAACTTTATGTCAATTTCTAGTCATTGAAGAGTCAGAGAATGAAGGAAGCTGCAGACTTGAAATTTGTATAATGGCTCGCTTTCTGCTTTCAGTTGTGGGTATTGTGTGGGGCTTAGCTCTCTTGTGTCTAGTTCCTTTGGTGCTTTTGGTTTGGAAAAGTTAAAGAAGCTTTTTGTATAGGTGTTTGTGGGATTACTGGAGGTAAACAGCAATATGCTGGAGGAATAGAAAGGGCAGTAGGATGATACTTCAGAAATCATAGAAGTCAAGATTTTGGCTTTTTCCCAGATTGAATCAGCCCATCTCCTTAAGTAAGAAATTAGTAAATTGTCAGTCAGCCCTGTAGATATTAATGCAACTCTTGATTTCATAAAGATCCTGAGATACTAGAACGCCAAGGAATGAAGGTTTGGGGTTTAGAAATGCTTGGTGGAAATATTATATTAATCCATAGGATATGGGGAAGGGAATAGAGCCCCCCAAGAAGCTGGTGGTGGTACTTGTACTTAACAATATAACTAGGAATTTCCACACTGCCTGTGGAAGAACACGCCTGTGATGACTTGTAGATGGAGATGTTGTTGGCCAAAGCTCTGAGAAGAGCTCATGTTAGGATGTGGAAAATGTCATGTAGTATAGTGATGTTGCTACAATTTTCAAATCACTTTTTTTTCTCTTCAGACGTTGAAGAGTGGAGGCGTTCAGGAACAGTGGCTGACAGATTTACATTACTGCTTCAACGTGTACCTCACTGGGCATCCTCAGGGGCCTGGTGCATTGAGTACAGTATATTGAAGAGACACCATGGTACCTCCTATTTGAAGTTGTTTATTCATGCCTGTAATTTTGAAGAGACACTGATAGAATGAATGTTTGTCATTAAAGCTGAACTTTTAAAGAAGTTGTTTATGAACCTTCCTTTGAACTGAAGTAGAAAAGTAACACTGGAGTTCTGCTGGGTGGGTAGGCACACTCTCCGGGAGGGAGGAGCACATGATAATATGGTTACAGTGGATAATGTACTTTGGTTTTTCTAGGAGCTAAGTATTTATAAAATAGATAGTAACGGTATCTATTTACCAAGAAATTAGCTACATCTTTGTGATCTCATCTAGGCAAACCTCATTTGATTTGTTGTATTCTCATTCTCAGTTCTACTCTACTCAGACAGTTTTTGTTTGAGGGGTGGAGGGATGTTTGTTCTTATCCATCAGGATTGCCATCTTGCTGTGGAGTTTGTTATTATCTGCCCTCCATCCAGGTAGATTTCAACAGTGTTGTAGTTGGTTTTGATTTTCTTATATCTCAGTGGTGATTGGTCTATCTGGATAATTTTTACTGTAAAAAAATGACTTTTCCACTAAAGATCCTAGTGTGGGTTTTTTTGTTTTGTTTTGTTTTTGTTTTTTTAAATTAGACAACCGTTTGATGTGAAAGTTTTGCAATACGTGTTGAGTTGATCAGCTGTGGGTGAAATTGAACTACTCTGGTGGGGTGCCAGAATCTAGGTATGTTATTGTGCCCCTCACATGCGCGACTCCTTAGAGACAGACCCTGTGTGGTCCTTCACAAGTGTCTCCTCATGCAGTGGGGCCTGATCTTATCACCCACTTGCCATGACATCTTTGCAATCAGTGGATAGCTACAGACAAATTGTCTCAGTAACACAACTACATTCAAGACAAGTCAAGTCAAGGTTATGGCTACTATTTTCAGGATAGACTTTCTTGAAGAACACAGGACAACCTTGGGGGTGGTGTATTATGAAGAAGCTCTAGGAAAATGGAAAGATGCACTGGTGAGAAAGGCCAGGAAGGTTGCACTGAGGAATTTTTTTCCCATCACGATGCATCTACTCATTCAAAGGTATAGCCAGGGCTGTCCTATTAGGGTTTCTTCTGGAAGGAAGCCGCCTTCCCCCATCCTCCCTAAAGGCCTGATCTTGCCCCTTCAGACTTCTTTTTGTTCCCCAAACTCAACATTTAAAAAAGGCCGTTTGAATCCCTCAAGGATGCCCAAAATAATGTTTTGACATGTAAATCAAAGAGCACAGAATTTTGGGGGGGGGGGGCGAGATGCAAAAATACTGCCTTCAGAAGTATACAGACCTGATGGTGGTAGTGATGTGCTGTGCAGTCGTAGATGGAGGCTATGTCAAAAAATAATAGTTTCACACTTTGATCTTTTTGTTCAATAAAGGTTTCGCTGATTTTTTGTTGCAATACTTTTTGACTTACCCCCTCATATATTGCTGTTGGAGTTCTGGTGTGGTGCTGAATAAACATGGGACTGTTAACCACAAGGTTGGTAGTTCAAACCCACCAGCTGCTAGAACTGACATGACAACACAACAGTAATTTCTTGTCAGCAGAGATGTCACTGATCTTAGGAAAATGGAAGCAAACCTCTACTTATTTGTGTGTCTAGAGTGTCAGTGTGTCTCCTGTCTACATTCCCTAAGCAGCCTCACTCTTCAAAAGTATGAAAATGTCAGGTGACCAATCACTGGATTTTATTTTAACCAGATATATATTGATAATAGGAATGGCATTTTGACAAGATTGCTCAACTATGTAGACAATACAAGTGGAATGCTGAGGCCTGAAGGTGGACCTTGCTGTGTGAAAGGTCTGTCTGTAGTCAGCCCTGTTCAATTTGCTGCTGCTGGTGCTCGTGGTGGTGGTGCTGCTGGTGTTGGGAAAACCATACATCCTGCATGGCAGAGGGTAACGGGAACTGCACGATGTCCGGAATCAACAGAGTGCATCTGATCTATGGATCGGTTTTAAGAGCAACACAGTCATGATACTTGTCTGAAATGTAAAACCAATAATGGAGTAACAACAAAAAGGTGCTATCTGTACACATTGTTGTCTGAAGAGCTGCTAGTGAAGTGACGGCTGCTGTGTGGGTCAGGTGTCCGCCCACCTCACAGAGTTCTTCCCTGGAGGCAAGTAACCAGGCTGTGTCAGCTAGCTGGTGGAAATCCTAGCCACCAGCCCTGATTGGCTTAGACTTTACGGTTCATTTATAGTATTTCCAGCATACTGACTGTTGAGAAGACACACTGATAGGCTCCTGGAGTACTGGCTAGATGGCCTACGATACAGTGCTTATTGTGAAGACAGCCGGTTCTGACACCTTTCCGCTCTTAACCATGTTTTCAGGCTAACAAGCCTTCAGACATTGATATTAAAGTTTATCCATGACAATAAAGAGAATCAGAGAATTTGAACTCTGTACTAGCTTTTCCAGCTCCCCCGAACACAGTCTTCTGAAGTAGGCACTCGCAGCTTTGTTTTGCTTTTTGATTGTGTAGTTGACTGCAGGTTATAAGAAAAGTTTCTGGATCTTCCACTGTTCTCATGGAGGTGTATACACTGCAGGCTGCTCACTGGTAAACACAAGAGAGACAGTCTCACGGTTAGTTACGAGGCAGAAGGGAAGCGGTCCCTGGTGGTGAGGATATAGAGGGTCGGGGTTCTGGCTGGCCTGAACCTAAGCAGGTGATACCTAGTGCACGGCAGCTGTTGGTTAGTGCCCTCCTGTTGGTTCTGACTCAGTGATGAACCTAGATAGGGCTTTCAAGGAGTGGCGTGCTGGTGGGTTTGAACCATTAACCTTATGGTTAGCAATCCAGTGCTTATCCCACAGTGCTGTAGGATGACTTAACTGACCTTATATTTTCCATCATCTCAAAGATAAGTGGCATCTTTTAAGGAAGAGGCTTAATTTGGAGGATAAAGGCACTTGAGCTAGAACTGGAAGCTAGGCTTTTCAGTCTGGAAAAAGGATGATCTCTTTGGATGTGTCTCATACAGTACACACATCTACTTTTTAACATGTCTGACACAGTTTCTGAAAGTTCATTACAGAAAGAAAATAGGTTCACTTAAACACTATTTAGATCCTCAAGAATGATGGACTAATATAGGTGTATCTGATTTAAAATGGATTTCTTGAAACCTTTCTAGAGCTTTGAACTTACAAACTAATGTTGGGAATCAGTGACGAAGTCAACCCTCTGATTGATAGAGAACACCAAGACCTCATTTTGTGCAGAGACTTTGCTGAGGCCATACTGCTTCCTGAGTACTCCTAAGTGTTAGGAACAAATCAGCAAATATGAAGGGTGAATACTTTCAAAAAGTAACCAACATAGGAGGGGGCTTCAAAAAGTGCATGGAAAAAAAGTAATGAAAAGATAATGCATTTTTTCCATGAACTTTTAAAACCCCTCGTCTTAATTCTTTCTAGTTTGTCACTTGAATTCTTTTTAAGTCACCCACTGTTTTGGAACTCTGACATATTTTTGGCTGCCTTTATAATCTTGAGGTGTCATCTGCAGAGGGACAGAAATCCATGGCTAGTCCATTGGAATGGAAATTTTAAAGGGGGTTCTTATATTTTTAGAGGTTCAGGTTAATACATACATATATATTTTATACATATATCTCATGGAGCCCTTGTGAGTAGTGAGTACCTCATTAGGCTGGTAACTGCAAGGTCAGCAGTTTGAATCCACCAGCAGGAGAAAAAGGAGGTTTTCTGCTCCTTAAAGATTTATAGCCTTGAAAACCCTACCCGGGTTGCTATGAGTGGCAACTAATGGCAGTAGGTTTTCTGTTTAGCTTTAATATCATGTATCGATGAGGCTCTCGGATCATTACTACGCTGACATTCTCTGTGGGTGGAGAAGACTGAAGACAAAGGCAGTCTCCCAAATGCCTGATCAATACAGTGCTGCTCAAGACGTGAGAGCTACAGACCTGAGTGGAGAGCCAGACCGAAGGGCCGTCATTTGCTAACCATTCTTTTTAAAAGGCTGAGGCCTTAGGTTTTCTTCCTTGTTTTAGAGGATGGGAACGACAATATTCATTCACTCATCAAATCTTTGAGCACCCACATGTGCCTCTCTTCTCTAAAACGGAACAGAGAGCGAAGAAAAACAGAAGCTCCTAGTCCCCATAGCCTTCTCAAAGGGGAAAGTAAATCATTTTTTACTTACGGTGGAGACCGAAGTTAATGTCAACCTTTTCGTTTCAATTTAGTGTGTATCTTAAGTCATGCCGATTTCGTGGAAATTATTTTCTTATATAGACATGCTTTCTGTATAAAACAGTAGTTCTGTCTGTCAGCCTTATTCATTGGGTGGGAGTAGTGGGTCTAACAAAAACCTGTCTCCCAATTTTGGAGTTAGGTAAAGATGGTCTTTATTTTATCTGTTTTCAACTTAAAACCAACCAGAATGGTCTTATGTTGGATAAACATAAACAATATTAAGTATATTAAAATATTAAGTATAGGAAACCCATATGTATTTCTTTGAATTTGTTTACTTTGTCCCCTTTGAGCCCCTTAAACAAAAACCTTGTATCCTAATAAACACCTTAATTTTAAGATTTCTGATATCCTTGGTTTTAAGACAACGTAAAAAATGTTCTACCTAATTTATAGTATTCAATTTGATTATAAATGCCACTTATCCTGTATTTATATTTTGACAAGTATAAAGATGCAAGTTTTCTTCCACAGAACTTTGGGGCTTGGATTCCTTTGAAAGTTTCCCAGATCGGCTTCATTATATTACATGAAGTCGCCCAATTCCTATTAGAGAAGTTGCAGTAATTACTCTGCCTCCTCCTCCCTCCCAAAGTGAAATGAATATTAAAGTTCACGCTGACAGCCGTTGTTGGCCTTCCCAGCTGGCCGCCTGCAGGATGCCTGTGATGGGGGGTGGGAGGGGCACGTTGCCATAGCCACCTCTGGAGAAACACTGGCACTGGTCCTAGCTGCTGACAGCGCTGAACTTATCACCCACAATTCCTGCAGACGTGAGTGAAGGGCCCTGAATACAACACGGGCTTGAGGCTGAAAGGGGGCTGCTTGAATTGCTGGAGGAGTCCAAGTGGACAGGTGAGCCAAAGCCGGACACTGCTGTCAGGGCCTCTCCTGGTACTTGGGAGACAAGAGCCGGACTTTGTGGTGAATGACTTGTCCATCTCCATTTTGGGGAAGAAGATGAAGGACCCCAACGTGCAACCGAAGTGGCACCAGAACCCCTCCTCCACCCCCAAGCTGCTTTGAAGAATGACAGTATTTTCGCTGCTCCCTTTATGTGAACAAATACGCAAAAGCTATCAGTAGTAGCTACCATTCATTGCTTCTACTGACAGTAGTGTTCCTGATAATAGCTTTGGTTCTGAAAAGAATTTGCCTCTTAGGAAGACAGATGTAATCATTCCAAGAAATGGAGAAAAATCATGCATACCTAAAATCAAATGACCACTGGCAACCGCTGGCAGTCTGTCTCAGTGCAATGCCTTCCCCCTTTAGAGAAAAGGAATGCTGCCCCCATTGTCTTCCCCACCATCAGCTCCTCTGTCTTACCTGAACTGAGGTGCAGCATGGACGGAGCCTTTGGAGACCGTGTCAAATGATGCACTTTACCTTCTTGAGAGCAACCTGAAATAACCAAAAATGGATATCGAGCTTTGACCAATGAGAGCTGTGGTCAGACCAAGAACTAAACTCCTTGGTGAGCAATAAGCAGGTGCCTACCAAGATAAATTAGTGTACCATGGATGCCCAAGGCCCTGCAAGAGCTCTGATTCCAGGTGGTTTTTTCCTGTTGGGATAGTTAGCCAGGCTTCGCTGCTGAGTTTATTTGGATGAGCTTATCCAGAGCTGAAAATGTTTCACTGTACATCAGCTCATCTGCAGAAACAAGTATTTCCTGAACTGCTTGGATCTGGGACATTTTGTTACCAAATAGGCAAGCCTGCACTGTCTTAGTAAAGGAAAAATCAAAGTGAGGCAGGGTCTACTTGAGCCTGGAGTTCTGGAAATGGGTAAAGTTAGGGAACAACCTAAGGTTCAAGTGAGATGTTTATTGACAAACCCAGAGGAAAGTCTTGTTGGAGAGTTCTCTGGGCTGAGAAGCCAGAATGCCTCAAGAAACCAATTTTGACCCAGAGTTACTAGAGCGTGGTCCTCAGAGGCAATAAATGAAGTGCCCATCTGAATGGTGTTCCCCCAGGGTCCTTAGAAACTATGAGGTGCCCATAAAGAGAATTACCATAGATCTGCTTGAGCACTGAGTGCTTGGTGGACTTTAGGCTCGAGCTGCCCTTGGGTGGAATCTTGGTGGTCCTGCCTGCTTTGATGGTCTTTAGGGGCTTTAGTTCCAGTTCTTTTCGCCAAACCTGAAGGATCAAGGCCATATACTCTCTGTTCCATCTGTCCACATCTCCACCTCCGAGCTGCTTCATGTGCAGAAGGTGGGCAAGGTGCTTCTGGAGCTGATAGCTGGTGGGGACAGTGGAGGGGAGAGGCTTTCAGACTTACCAGATCACAGAACTGAGAAAATCAAAGGTTTCTAGGAGCTACCTATAGAGCATGTGCTGGATTCTTGCGAGGTCCCGTCAAGTTTTTATGCCGAATTTTAGTGACAGCATGTTCAGTGTTGAATTATTTTTCCATAGTCCAACATTTCATGAACTGGGTAAACTAAACTAAACTAGTCCTTGTCTTAAAGGGGCTCCGAGTCCTGCTGCGGTACAGCATTAGGATAATAATGCTGGACTGCAAGGTCAGTTTGAACTGCAAGGTTGGCGGTTCAAACTCACCAGCCTCTTCTCGGAAACCCTATACAGGTTTACTATGAGTTGGAACCGGCTCGATGGCACTTAACAACAAGACAAGTGGAATAAACTGATGTTTAAACAAGCATGTTGAGTATGAGAAACATGCAAGTGCAAGACGTTAGATTATGTGGTAGCAGATGCTGGAATGACAGCTGTGGAGGCGTAAAGCTTTAGGAAGTGGGGCACTGCAGCTGGGTTTTTAAAGAGTGAAGTGGGAGCTTACCAGGAGCCCTGCTGGCACAGTGGTAAAGTGCTTACCTGCTAACCAAAAGGTCATCGGTTTGAATCCCCCAACTGTCCCATGGGAGAACTATATGGCCACCTAGTTCCATAAAGATTACAGCCTTAGAAATCCAATGGTACAGTTCTACTATCGTGTACATTGTTGTTGTTAGGTGCCATCGACTCAGTACTGACTCACAGTGAACCTATGCACAACAGAACGAAACACTGCCTGGTCCTGGGCCAACCTCACAACTGTTGTTATGCCTGAGCCCATAGCTGCTGCTGCTGTACCAATCCAATTCACTGGGGAGCTTCCTCTTCTTCTCTGACCCTCCACCTTACCAAACATGATGTCTTTCTCCAGGGACTGGTCCCTCCTGACAATATGTCCGAAGTATGAGAGACGAAGTCTGACCATCCTGTCCTCCAAGGAGCACTCTGGATGTACACTCTCCAACACAGATCTGTATGTTTTTTTGGCAGACCATGGTACTTTCAATATTCTCCTCCAACACCATAACTCAAATGCATCAATTCTTCCATGATCTTCCTTATTCACTGTCCAGCTTTCGCATGCAATATCAGGTTATTGAAAATACCTTGACTTGGGTCAGGTGCACCTTAGTCCTCAAGCTGACATCTTTGCTCTTCAACACTTTAAAAAGGTCTTGTGCAGCAGATTTGCCTAATGCAATATGTCATTTGATTTCTTGACTGCTGCTTCCGTGAGTGTTGATGGTTGATCTGAGCAAACTGAAGTCTTAGACAAATTTAATCTTTTCTCCATTTATCTTGACGTTATTTATTGGTCCAGTGGTGAGAATTTTTGTTTTCTTTACATTGGGCTGCAACTCATACCAAAGACTCTCGTCTTTGATGTTCATCAATAAGTATTTTAAATACTTTTCACTTTCAACAAGCAAGGTTGTATTATCTGCATATTGCAGGTTATTAATGAGTCTTCCTCCAATCCTGATGCCATGTTTTTCTTCATGTAATCCATATTCTTGGATTATTTGCTCAGTATACAGATTGAATAAGTATGGTGAAAGAATACAACCCTGATGCATGCCTTTCCTAATTTTAAACCATTTGGTGTTCCCTTGTTCGAACAACTGCCTCTTCTTGGTCTCTTATATACAGATTCCTCATGAGCACAATTAAGTGTTCCAGAATACTCATTCTTCACACTGTTGTCCATAGCTTGTTATGATCTACACAGTTGAATGCCTTTGTTGTTGTTATGTGCCGTGGAGTTGGTTCTGACTCATAGTGACCCTGTACAGGGTTTCCGAGGCTATAAATCTTTACAGGAGGAGAAAGCCTCATCTTTCTCCCGCGGAACAGCTGGAAGTTTTGAACTGCTGACTTTGCACTTCCCAGTCTGATTTGTAACCACTACGCTACCAGAATGCCTTTATGTAGTCAATAAATCACTGGTAAATATCTTTCTGGTATTCTTTGCTTTGAGTCAAGATCCATCTGACGTCAACAATGATATCCCTCATTCCATGATCTCTTCTGAATCTGGCTTGAACCTTGGGACGTTCTCTGTTAATGTGTGGTTGCAGCGGCTTTTGCATTATTTTTAGTAAAATTTTACTTGCATGGGATATCATTGATACTGTCCAATGATTTCTTCATTCCATTGGGTCACCTTTCTTTGGAATGGAAACAAATACGGATTTCTTTCAGTCAGTTGGCCAGGTAGTTATCTTCCAAATTTCTTGGCATAAATGAGTGAGTGCCTCCAGTGCTGCATCAGTTTGTTGAAAGTTTCAATTTGTATTTCATCAATTCCCATAGCCTTGCTCTTTGCCAATGCTTTCAATGAACCTTGAACGTCTTCTTTCAGAACCACTGACTCTTGATCATATGCTACCTTTTGAAATGGTTGAACATCAACCATTGTTTATTTGTACAGTGACTCTGTGTATTCTTTCCATCTTCTTCCATATATGTAATCAGAATCGACTTGGTGGCAGTAGGTTTGTTTTGTTTTGGGGGGAGCTTACCAAGCAGAAGGAGAAGGGAGTTCTGCTATGGTGCTGTACGATCATCACTGAACTGCAAACCACAGGTCGGTGGTTCAAACCCAACAGCTATTCCTTGGAAACCCTGTACAGGGTCACTATAGGTCGGAATCGACTCGATGGTACTTAGCAACAATAACCACCAAGCAAGGAAGGGTAACCTGGGCAGCAGAATTGGCATGCACAGACATGTAGGCATTTGTGCAGGGAAAGCAGGAATACAGTGTGGTTGGTGTGTTGAGGGAAGCAGGGGAGGCTGTGCTTCACAGTGGAAGGATCAACACTGATGAGAGAGCTTGTTCCACCAGGCACTTCACCTGTGCTGAAGGCTGCACGTAACATTATGAGGTACACATTGTAAAGCTCAGAAAGGCTGAATAACTTGCATGAGGTCACACAGCTAAAGTCAGGAGAAGGTAAAGTTCAAAGTCACTGCTGTCTAGCCCCACAGTCAAATCTTGCTCGGGATGTTGATGTGCATTCTATGCACTCTGGGGATCCAGAGAGACTTGTATGAGGACTGGCAAAGGTAAGAGTTGTGTCACTAACACTGTTCTGCTAAAGGGTGGAGTTGGAGAGGAGAGGACCGAGGAGCAGCGGGTGATGTCTGGGTTTACAAGTGCCTATTTCTGTTCCACTCTGCTAACATTACATGCTCCCAAACCGCTCACTGAACCCATGAGCTTTGGCGCCTCCAAGTCAAGCAGCCTGTGTCTGGAGCCATGTGACCTGGCTGGCTCCCCACAACCCCAGGAGTGACTGAGTCCCATTTGATTATCCACCAAACAGGAAGTCACCTTCTGAAACCTGGCAGTGCTTGGTGCAGTCCCAACCTCCCTTCCCCTTTTCCTAGACAGTGATGAACCGTGGCTTCCCTGAGCTAGAACAGGTACCACAGTCCAAGAGCAAATGGTAGAGAAGAGCGAGGGGGAGGGGGCAAGACTGTTGCCTGGCTCTTTCTTCCGTCTGAGATGTGAGTCTTCCCATGCAATTGTGGACAGGGAACTCACTGCAAGATTACGCACTGTTGAATCTGAAAGCGCAGCCTCCACCTGATCGAGACTGTTCTGTGTCCAGGTGACAAGATGGTCCTAGTGTCCCATAGGAACATCCTCTATCCCCCATTCTCAAGGAAAACATGCACTTCTGGTCTGCTAAGTCCTCGAGTGTCCAATAGTCCCTTCAACCCTGAGCTCAAAGCTACTCTTTCGGTTCGCCTACCTGTCCTCTGGTGTGGTGCTGCAGGATAAACACTGGACTGCTAACCACAAGGTCAGTAGCTCAAACCAACCAGCTGCTCTTGGAAATTCAGGGTCATTCTGAGTGGAACCAACTCAGTGGCACACAACAAAACAACATTCTTCCTTAGTTACCTGAGAAAAGTCAAGTCTTGATTGATAATAAAACTCATATTTCATTTAAAGATTCTGCTGCATTTTCTCAGGGCCCAAAGTTTCATCATTTGATTTCTTCAAGATCAAAGACATATTGTATTGGACAAATCTGCTGCCAAAGATCTCTTTAAAGCCAAGATGTCACTTTGAGGGCCAAGGTGTGCATGATCCACACTGTGGTTTATCAGTTGTCTCACATGCGTGTGAAAGCTGGACATGAATAAGGAAGACTGGAGAGTGACGCCTTTGAATAATGGCATTGGTGAAGAATACATGGACTGCCAAAAGAACAGACAACTTTATCTTTGAAGAGCTACAGACTGAATGCTGCTTAGAAGCAAGGCTGGTCAGACTGTCTCACGTACTTCGGACATGTTGTCAAGAGGACCAGTCCCTAGAGAAGGACATCGTGCTTGGTAAAGTGGAGGGTCAGCGAAGACCCTTAATGAGATGGACTTGATACAGCGACTGCAATAATGCGCTCAAACAGAGCAATAATTGTGAGGTGGCACTGGATCAGACATTGTTTCATTCTGTTGTACACAGTGTTGTTATGAGTAGAAACTCACTCTACAGCATGTAACAACACCAGAGTTCCATCTGCTCACTCCATCTCCGTGTGTTTTCCAATCTCCTCTTCTCCATCTTGACTTGTCTCCTGTAATAATAGCTTGTGATCATCAAGCCCATTTCCTGCCCCTCCCTCGGTGCTCCTTTAGTCTGCTGTTAGATCGTATACAGTCCTAGGACAACACGTTGGACTACTTTTGTGAAAATGGAAGATACATACAAATATAGCAATCAGAAGTATTTTTAATGTCAGCAGACATGACATTCTACAATGGGAAGCGTCCCAGAAGCCCTTTGGGAGTCAACATGCCTAGGCCTTGAAGTTACACACTGACTCGGCCAGAGGGGGGCTGTATAATTACCTTCCCAGATGGGCACGTTAGACTGGGAGCCCACTGTTCTTGGGAGGGATGATTGAAAGCTCATTTGCTACTATGGACACTTACTGACAGTGCCTGTCAACTTCTGACTCTTCAAAGGAGTCAAAGCACAAGCAGTGTGAAGGGGAGGCATTTTTAACTAAGGAACAGCTGTGGGGCCTGACGTGTAGGCCTTGCTGGCTTGTTTCAATCCCAGGTTTCAGGTGAGATAGTTAACACAAAGTTCTTCTGGGATGGCAGCCCAGGTACATCCTGGAAGAACTCTCCAAGGAGGGAGAGACATGGCCATTCCAATCGGTGGCTTCAGAGGTAGATTCAGCACAAAGCTCAGTGCTGACATTTTCAAATTCTGTAACTTTGGTAAGTTAATGAACTGTTGTTCTGTACCTCTGTTTCCTCATTAGTAGAATGTAGTAAGAACCGTAGCCTCAATGGGCTCTTGTGAGGATTAATTGAAACATATGAAACTACTTAGTTACAGTGCTTGGCACAAATGGCCGATAAACGCCAACTAGTAGTAGTAATAATAGTCAAGATGACAACATCTTGATCTAGGTGTGACCCACCACCTCGGCAGCTCTTCTTACCCAGCCTATTCTGAGATGAAGAGCACACAGCCTGCTTCCAGCGACAGCCAGAACTAGATTTCCTCATAAGGAAAGGAACAAGTTCCAGTGAACAACTTCCAGAGCTGGATCGGCATACCCAGGACCAGTGAGGAAATGAATCCCTGTCGTGACTGCTTCCTTGTATGGTCCAGAGATCAAATGGGATCGTGCATGGTTTGTAAACTGCCAGGAACTTGACTAGGCAGAGGAAGCATTGCAAAATCTGTGTCAGCCTAACTGATCCCCTGGCCCCAAGGTGGCTGTCTTTGGCATGATTCCCGAGGCCTAACCCTGGACCTCACATGTTTTCGTCTCTCTCTTCTAAACTAGGGGTTCTCTCAGCATGCAATGATATGCTTGCTTTGTTCAGGATTGAATTGTGCCCCGCACATTCTGTGCTGTAAGCCCTAGCCTGTGTGCCTGTGTGCCTGTGTGCCTGTGGTTATAACTAGAGAAAGGGCTGTCATTGTCAGGCTAGACAGGGTTAGTGTAGGGCATACCTTGAGCCAATCTCTCGAGATATGAGATTAAACAAGCAGAGATGGGTGAAGACTAATGGCAGGCCTCATGGAGGTCTCCAAGGAGCCAGGAGACAGGGCCCCCTCGGAGCTGACAGAGAGAGCCTTTCCCTGGAGCTAGTGCCCTGAACTTGGACTTATAGCCTCCTAACTGTGGTGTTTCTCTTATAGCTGCTGCTGCTTGCTATCTAGTAGGTTCCAACTCACAGTGTCCCGTATAGGATTTCTGAGGCTGTAAATCTTTCTTTGGAGGAGCAGCTAGGGGATTCAAACTGCTGACCTTGTGGTTAGCAGCCCAATGCAGAACCCACTGCACTCTTTACTGCTCTGTGACTGCAGAAGTGAGACAGTTTCTCATCAGTCTGTCTGCAGAGAAGGCCACATGAGTCCCACTCGTCAGGTAGGGCCTGTCCTCCTATGGGCCCACGTGGGCCTGACAGAGTGTGTCTGAGTGCTCTGTAGGGGAAAGATGGGACAGTCTGCTTCCATAAAGATCGTCTTGGAAACCTGATGGGGCAGTTCTACCCTGTCCTATGCAGATGCTGTGTTGGAACTGGCTTAAGGGCAGTGGGTTGGGTTGGGTTTGGTAGTTGCGATGTGAAGGAGCCTGAGATAGGAAAAAGCTCTGAGCAAAAGATGCCTCCAGTCCAGTTAATTACTCCCGGGAAGTATTTGTCTCTGCCATCAGAGACTATCCACCTCTCCACAGAGCCTCTGTGTCCACCCCCAGTGCCCACCCTGAGCTTTGAGCTTGGTAGTTGCTCAGAAAGATTTTTGTAAAAAATTCATCAGTCAGTCCACTGTATGCAGGCTTTGGTTTAGGCGTCTGTGGTATGATTAATCCCTGAGGAGTAAAGATAAAAGAAAAGAAAATACTTCATCTGTGTCGTGCACTAAGAGCTTACGAAGCATACGGTATTCTCATTCCAGCACCCTGTTGTATACACAGGACAGGTGCAGCAACTGTCAAATCCCACTTTACAGGGGAGGGTCCTGACGGTCTGTGAAAGTCATGTGATCTGCCTAAAGTCAGATAACTGGTTAGTGCTTCATCTGAAACGCAAGCTTACTGGCTGCAAGTCCTTTATACCAAGCCATGTTGAGTGCCTTCCCTTCTAACTTGTAAAAACACCTTAAACAGCGCTTATGTAAGTAAGTTAGTAGGGTCTACACCTGCGTGACCCATACGATTTTCATTGGCTGACTTTTGGAGGTAGACCACCCAGTCTGTCTCAGTCTGGAAGCCCCACTGACCCTGTGTGCCACACTGTCACAGCACCACACAAGCCAGCTCAGGATGACCCACTGGGGCACGCTGTCCGACAGAGGGCTGGACATGGGCACTGACTGCCCACAGCAGCCACAGTTGCCGTGAAGAGGAAACACGCTCGGCCAGCGGTTTGTGCTGCTGTCCATGGAGATGCCGCTGAGTTGGGGCTGACTGGACGGCAACTAACAACAACACACAGGTGTGGATGTCAGGTGTGGTGTTAGACGCTGTCGGGTTGACTCCAACTCTTAAAACTGACCGTATCATGCCACTACCTCGACTTCACTGAGGAAACATCAATGAGAACAGAAGGTGTCCTGTTCGAGACCCCGCTGCCATGGTGCCCTGTGTCCTACCTTCTCCAGGCTCGCTGGATGACTGCCGCTGCCTTGTTCTTCCTGCGGAACTGCTCTTTCCTGCTTCTTTCTCTCTGAATGATCTGCAGCCGGAGTTCTACAGGGAGAAGGTCAATATTTACACTCTGTCCAGAGACAAGAGCAGGTGGTGGCTCAGTCTCCTTCGACATTGTGGAAGGCCCTGGCTTCCTGGGTCCCGATCTCACCACCTCTGTGCTCTGTGGAGAGTCTGAGCACAGCCCTCCTGTGAGCTTGTCATGCGTCACTCTGTTCCTTGGTGTTCGATGGTGGGGGAGAGGATTCTGCCCAGCCTGGGGCACCTCCCCCTTGGCACTGCCAGGCCGGCTAGAACCAGCTGGGGAACACCTTCCTCCTCTGAGCTCTTGAACACGCATTCTTTGGGGGGCATGCTTGGCCCTGGGCACCGTGTCACACAGCCTGCTGGGCTTCCCATGGCCGTCCTGCTGTGAAAGGCTTCCAGCTGCGCCAGCAGGTCCCTGGTCTTTCTCACCAGGCCCTACTCCCCTGATGCAGGGGGGCTGCTTCAAGGGCCCTTTCCCCTTCGCACACTGCTGCTCACCACCTGAGGGGATGCTGGAGACACCTGGATGTCCGATTCCATCATCGCCTTCACTGGGGTGGAAGTGGACACAGGTAGATGGGCCTTTAGAACGTTCTCTGGATATTTCTGAAGAGAGAAGAAAAAAAGGAGGAATGTGTATTGTCCAAAATTTGCAAGGTAGGGTAGTTCTGCTCATTTGTTGATATAAAATATTCAGACGTGACCTATAGTAGGACCATGAGAATGTGGTGAGAACTAGGAAACAATTCTTCACTCGTGTTCCCAGCACTCCAGTAGGTAAGACCACCTGAAAGCTCTCCAGCAAGGAGTGGCTAACGCTGACTGCAACATAGCACACAGCCTTTATGAGAAACTCTCATGCTTTCTAGAGAATCACGAAGACCCCGGGGCCCAAACCAAAGAAAAGCAGACAAACCAAGCGTTAGATGCTGTGTATGGGCTGTTTCAGTGGCGGCCTGGGCAGGCGGCGTGGGCAGCACTTGGTCTTAGTAAATACCTGCTGCTTTGACACGGCTATAAGAACAGAAAAGGAAAGCTTGCTGACGAAGAAATGATTTTGAACCAAGACCCAGTATGAAGTCAGTCCTCTTCCAGGGATAGCCAGTGCACTTGGGAAAGCAAAGACCACCCAAACAAAATCTGCTGTGTGCTTTAGGACACAAGGGAGTTTGTTTCAGTCTATGCTCTGGGTAAGGGGAACAGGCTCCCAGGAGAATCTGAAAACAAAGCCCAGTGCCTCACACAGGTTTGGTATTCAGTTATTCTCAACCTGTGGGAGAAATGATTATAGACTGGCCTCAGGATGGTGATTCCCCAGAATGTCTGACAGAAGTAAGCATAATATGGCATGCCCTCAACCGATAAGGCACAGATAGGGTCATTCTGAAAATGACCTCACAATCCCAAATGATAAAAGACATGTGAAAACAGTCCACCATGAACAACAGCTGCACAGACAGCAAGATCAGACCCTCAAGAATGTCAGCTAATACGACAGCATGTACACACACACAATAACTAAACTCACAAAAGGAAAATAAAGTCATGAGAAAACAATAAATATATCTCAAAAGAACTAATGTAGTTTTTGCCGGCAACACCTCTACGTTTGTTTGCCAACTCCTCTCTGTCCCTGGGAGATATTTTTGTAAATGTGCTATGTTAATTATTTTTTACAGCAAAAAAAATTGGAATAGAGATGCTTACAAAAATACTTGGGGTGGTGGTAAGGGGAGAAGAGTTGGCAAACAAATGTAGAGGGCATATGTGATTTGCAGAACAATATGGTAACAGCAATGCTTAAAATGAAAATTTTCATTCCTGGATATAAAATACAATGAAGAACTTCTGTAATGGCACAATTGAGGCATACTCTACTGAGGACCACAAGAATCTCTGGTAGTGTAGTGGTTATGAATCGGGCTGCTAACCTCAGGGTCAGCAGATTGAAACTACCAGCTATTCCACATGAGAAAGATGAGGCTTTCTGCTCCTGTAAAGATTTACAGCCTCAAAAACCCTATACAGAGTCACTATGAGTATTCCTGAACACTTAATTGTGCTCATGAGGCATCTGTACCTGGACCAAGAGGCAGTTGTTCGAACAGGACACGGGAAAAAACTGAATGGTTTAAAATTAAGAAACGTGTGCAACAGGGTTGTATTCTTTCACCATACTTATTCAACCTGTATGCTGAGCAAATAATCTGAGAAGTTGAGTTATATGAAGAAAAATGTGGCGTCAGGATTGGCGGAAGATTCATTAACAACCTACGATATGTAGATGATACAAGCTTGCTTGCTGAAAGTGAAGAAGACTTAAAATATTTACTGATGAAGATCAAAGAGCACAGCCTTCAGTATGGGTTATATCTCAATGCAAAAAAACCAGAAATGCTCACCACTGGACCAATAAACAACACTCTTATCAACAAAGATTGAAGTTGTCAAGGACTTCACTTTTCTTGGATCAACTATCAATACTCATGGAAGCAGCAGCCAAGCAATCAAAGAACGTATTGCATTAGGCAAATCTGCTGCACAAGACCTTTTTAAAGTATTGAAGAGCAAAGATGTCAGCTTGATGACTAAAGTGCGCCTGACCCAAGCCATGGTATTTTGAATAACCTCATATGCATGCGAAAGCTGGACAGTGAATAAGAAAGACTGTAGATGAATTGATAAATTTGAGTTATGGTGTTGGAGGAGAATATTGAAAATCCCATCGGCTGCCCATAGAACCAACAGATCTGTGTTGCAAGAAGTGCAGCCAGAGTGCTCCTTGGAGGCCAAGATGGTCAAACTTCGTCTCTCATACTTTGGACATATTGTCAGGAGGGACCAGTCACTGGAGAAGGATATCATGTTTGGTAAGGTGGAGGGTCAGAGAAAAAGAGGAAGACCCGCAGCAAGAGGGATTGGCAAAGTGGCAGCATCAATGGGCTCAAGCATGGCAATAATAATGAGGTTGGCTCAGGATCAGGCAGTGTTTCATTTTGCTGTGCATAAGGTCGCTATGAGTTGGTACCGACTCGATGGCACCTAACAACAACAACAACAACAACAACAACATGAAGTCGGAACGAACTCCATGGCATATAACCACCACCACCACCACCTACTGAGGACCACAGAGGCAAAATATCACAAACCACCTATATGAAGGCATCCAAGAGTTAACTAGGCCAGAAAAGACTGGGACCAAGATCCAGAAGACTCTGGTAACTGAGAGCAGTGAGTAAGGCATCTGGGGCTAAATCTTCCTAGAGGAAACAGTCCCCCAAGATCTGGAGGCCACTACTTGAAGACTCACTCCTGCTGTGGTTTAATGCTGTGGACTGCAAAGTTGGTGTGAACCACAAGGTTGGCAGTTCAAACTCACCAGCCACTCCTCAGAACCCTATGCAGGGTTTCTATGGGTCGGAACCAACTCAAAGGCACTTGACAATAACTTGAAGACTAAGGCCTGCCGGGCAGTGTCCTTTGAGATTATGACCCTGGAGGGATTTATCATAGGAAAAAGGTGAACTGAGAGTAGACTGACTTTTGCAGGGACGGAAGCCTAGGTTTGTGTCATCTCAGTTATGGAAATTGAAGTCTTGGTTTCTAGGGCTCCTAACTGCCTGACAGAATCCAGTGTAAATCTTCTCTGGAGAAAGACAGTATCATCAGGCTTCAAGCTATTGCTACAATTTTTTTCCCCCAGTGTTCCGCATTCAATCAGAAACATACAGGTATATGAAGAAAAAAAGACAATATGATTAAAAAAGAGAAAGAGACGGATGTAAAAGTAGAGAAACCATTGTATTGGTGGTGGTGGTGGTGTTTGTGTGCCGTTGTGTCAGTCCTGACTCATAGTAACCCTGCAGAGGGTTTCTGAGGTTGTGAATCTTTATGGGAGCAGAAAGCCTCATCTTTCTCTGGCAGAACGATGGTAGATTCCAACTGCTGAATGTGGTTACCAGCCCAGCTTGTAATCCACTATGCTACCGGGATCCTTAGAGAAACAACAGACAATAGAGACTAGAAATAATATGCATAGAAACAGACACACAGATATCCAGATTGAAGACTGAAATTGTTCACATTCAACACTCATGGGAGTAGCTGTGAAAAAATCAAAGGACGTATTTATTGCATTAGGGCAAATCTGCTGCAAAAGGCCCCTTTACAGGTATTCAAGGTGCACCTAGACCAAGCCATGGTATTTTCAATTGTTTCATATGCATGTGAAAGTTGGATAATGGTGAAGGAAGACCACAGGAGAACTGATGCAGTGGAATTACAGTGTTGGAAAAGAACACTGAAAGCACCCTGGTCTGCTAGAAGAACAAAAAATCTGTATTGGAAGAAGTGCAGCCAGAATGCTCCTTAGAAGCCAGGATGGCGACACTTTGTCTCTTGTATTTTTAATATGATGTTAGGAGGGTCCAGTTCCTGGAGAAAAACACCATGCTTGGTAAACTGGAGGGCCAGCAAAAAAAGAGAAAGATCTGCAACTAGTTGTACGAACACATGGGCTCAAGCAACAATTGTGAGGATGGCATAGGGCTGAGCAGCATTTCGTTTTGTTGTGCATAATCTCTCTGTGAGTTAGAACCGACTAGAGGATACCTAAAAACAACAATGGTGGTGGTGGTGGTTATGTGCTGTGGAGTTGGTTCTGACTCATAGTGATCCTGTACAGGGTTTCCGAGGCTGCAAATCTTTATGGGAACAGAAAGCCTCATTTTTCTTCTGTGGGACTGCTGGTAGTTTTGAACTGCTGACCTTGAGGTTAGCAGCCTGACTTATAACCACTATGCTACCATTCTTAAAGTGTTAAAGAGCAAAAATGTGCCTGACCCAAACAATGGTATTTTCAATGGTCTCAGATGCATGTGAAAGGTGGACACTGAATAAGGAAGACTGAAGGAGGATTCATGCCTTTGAATGATGGTGTTGGCAAAGAATATTGAATATACCACAGGCAGCTAAAAGAATGAACAAATCTGTCTTAGAAGAAATACAACTAGAATGTTCCTTAGAAGTAAGGAACTTCATTCCATGTACTTTGGCCCTCTTATTAGGAGGGATCAATTCCTAGAGAAGGACATCAGACTTGGTAAAGCAGAGGGTCACCACAATAGAGGAAGACCTTAAACAAGATAGTGCCCGACACAGTGCCTGACAGAGTGCGGGGCTCTGTTGTGAGGGTGGTACACACCTGGGCAGTGTTTTATTCTGTTGTACATAGGGTAGTTGTGAGTCAGAATCTACTCGACAGCACATAACACAACATTCTTAAATGCATAGACATGCTATTCTTCATGTGATTATAAGTACATATGCTCATTTCTGCAAAAGGAATACAGAAGACTAAATCAGAACCTAAAGACGTGGATGACCTATGAGGATGGACTAGGACAGGGCTACAAATCAGAGGGATATGGGAACTGGGTGCAGAGATGAAGAAGAGTGACATTTCTCTTGAGTAAGCCTTTTTGTACAACTCTGACACTTAGAACCATTATATTCTTTCACAGACCAAACACTGAACAATTCACATCAACCAGGATTGAAAGGGTTCAAAATGAACATAACTGGGCTGCAAATGAACGAAATAAGCACGCTGATGGGGGTGATGATGAAAGGAAATGCTAAGCAACTTTGTCAAGCTGTATCTGATGGAATCCTGTCAAGTGTTGGTTGTTGTTAGGCGTGTTGGTAGATGGTGGTGTTAGACTACTTCTGACTCACAATGACCCCGTGTGACAGAGAGGGACTGCCCATAGGATTTTCTAGGCTGTCAGCTTCATGGAAACAGATTACCAGGTCCTTCTCCTGTGGAGCCACTGGACACGTTTAAAGTGACAACCTTTCAGCTCGAAGCTGAATGCTTAACTGCTGAATCACCAGGGCTCCTTACTGTAAGGCTAATGACCAAAAAGACAGGTAGGTAAATACTGTATTCTAAATTAGTAAATTAATTTATATATTAGGGGCTTGGGCTAGCTATTCTGAAACTATGTATGAAGGGGCTTAAAAAAGTTGGTGGAAAATGGAATTTTCCCATGAACTTTTAAAAGCTTTCTTGTACGCAAGGATTTAACAAACAGGTAAAAATATATTTTAGATAATGACTAAAGTCTTTCACTGTTGGAGGAATAAGTTTCAAATAAGCGGCAAGGCTAGAACAAATCATATGGGGATTGGCATTTGGGCACCTGAGTGGTGGGAGGGTTCCATCAATCCCTAAATGGTAAGCTGGCTCACTGGATCTAAACTCTGCAAACAACACGGTTTAAGCTGCACACCTGATTTCCTGCTGGGAGTCTGGGACTTTGGTTTGTGTTAGGCAGAGGGGGCTTGTGTGACTGATTCCTAACTTCAGATGAGCTTCCTTAGTAGACAGTATTGGACACGTGTTGTTACTACTTGTTGCTGGAGAAGCACACGCTGTGTGGCTCCACTGGGAGAACACTCGTTAGCTTGTACCTTGCTTCCTCTGGATTTCACCCCATTTGCCCTTTTCCTTGGCTGATTTTCCTTTGTATTCGTTCACTATAATAAATGAATCCCTGAGTCGGGCTATCTGCTGAGTCTTGTGAGTCCTCCTAGCAAATCACTGAGCCTACGGGTGGCTCTGGGGAACCTGACATACTAAATGGCCCTAAGCTAGATAATCTCAAAGAAATCTGTGCTAAGATACATAATAATCAAGCTTTTTTAGTGAAAACTAGAGAAAAAACTCTATCTTGAAAGCAGCCAGAGAAAAAAGTCATATTCCCTATAAAGGACGATCCGTGGGAAAGACAGTGGATTTCTTTTTGAGACCATGGAGGCCCAAAGGAAGTGGCACAATATTTTTTAAGTTCTGAAAGAAAAGAATGCCAACTACAAATTCTATATCTGACTTAACGATCCTTTAGGAATGAAGAAGAAATAAAAACATTCTCATCCAAAGAAAAATTTGTTGTTAGCCTGCCTACCGGTACAGATTGACTAAAGGAAGTTCTTCAAACAGAAAGGAAATGGTAAAGGAAGGAATCCTGGAGCTCCAGGAAGGAAGAAGAAACAAAAACAACAAGAAACTATCCTTCTCCTGGTGAGTTTGAACCACTGACCTTGTGGTCCAGTGCTTTATCCCACAGCGGCGTCACACCAGGATTCCAATATATCTATAAGTATCTGAAATGTACAGACTCGATGACACCTAACAACAACATCTAAATACACTAATCCAAAGACCCCTCAATCCCTGGGTTGCCATCAGAGAACACAGAATGCACCTACCACTTGGGTTTCTGGAGTCTGTGTCCTGCAGGTCTGAGGAAACACACTGTTCTTTCTGGGGGGCTCTGTCTGGGGACTCTTTTGGAGACCCTTTGGAATCTCTCTGCTTAGAGCCTGGGGTTGTGTTGTTGGGTGGAGGCTGTGTGCTGGGGGCCTGGCTGGCCTGGTCCTGGGTTCTGGGTAGACAGGCATGGGCCTGAGGTCTGTAGGTATCTGGGCTCAGCCTTCCCTTCTGTTGTTCTGCTTCTTTTCTCTTGCTTTCTTCCTCCCGTTTCCTAGAAGCAAAGTCAAAGAAGAAGGAAAGAACATTAAGAGTATGACCTGTTCAAAGAAGTTCTGGTGTGGCATTATTGGATAAGCACTGACTGCTAACCATAAGGTTGGTGGATCAAACCTACCAGCTGCTCCTTGGAAACCCTATACAGGGTTGCTACAAGTTGGAACAACAACCTGCTAAAATGGTCCCGAGACTGAAATCTTAGGAGGCAATTCCATATTTCATGTTGTCAGGTTGTGCCAGTCTCTGGAGATGGGCATCATGCTAGGCAAAGTAGAGGATTAGCAAAAAAGAGGAAGATGGATTGACACAGTGGATTCAACAATGAGCTCAAACATAACAACTGTGAGGATGGTGCAGGACTGGGCAGTGTTTTGTTTGATTATACATAGGGACAGTATGAGTTGGAACCAATCCAACAGCACATAACAACAACAACCATAAAGTTATTGTTGTTGTTAAGTGCTACTGAGTCAGTTCTGACTTGTAGCAACCATCAATAGGGTTTCCAAGGAGTAGCTGGTGGGTTTGAACTGCCAACCTTGCATGTTAGCTGTCTAGTTTTTATCTTACAGTGCCACACCATATCACAGGAAATACCTGGAAATACTTGGAGATTTCTCCAGGAGCAGTCTTTTCTCTAGATAAAATAAAAACCAACTCTTTTATGCCAGGTCTGACAGTTCAAGAGATGATAGAGTTGAAAAGACTCATGCAGAGCAACCGTTGTATAAGACAGATACCATGGAACTCTTTTAGATGAGGAGTAACATGTACCCCAAATGTCTGTGTGATCCCTGGAGCTACTTGTAACTCTTCCACACAGTTTTCTCCTCTACCAGAAAGCAAATCAGAAAGAATCAGATGTCAACCACAGGGATAACTTTGAATCTTCTGTTTATTTTTTTAAAAACCAACTGCAAACCTTAATGATTAAATCATAAAATTACCTGAAAAGCACCTTATAACTTAATTATAATTTCCTGTGACTTGCAACACTGTCATCAAGAGTTCTAGTTAATGAGTCAAAAACCTTATTTTGTAGATGAGACCCAGAAGGTAGAATGGTTTTCTAAGTCACACACAAGTTGTTGGTCGCATGTGGGAGCCCTTGGAGAGCAACAAAATAGAAGGTAACTGGGCAGAAGAAGTTATATCTGTGATCCAGGCAGGAGTGACAGGGTGAGGCAGATGGGTCAGAGGTCACCTAGATGGTAGCCCTGATCCAGACAGGTGTGGAGCTCAGGGAGGAAGGGATAGACTCCTGGGTAGGATTTCACTGATGCCATTAATTTACATTGATTAGCAAAGAAGGGAGGAAGCAATGAACATATTCTGAGTCTTTCCTGCACTGCGCACTGAAGACACAAAAATAAGGATTCCAAGGTTCAGGCCCTCCCTACTCAGTGAGGGACAAGTGTGAAAGCAGACCTAATGCATTATGGGAACATGCTGTAACAGTGCTTGTGCAGAGATAGTGATTAGCTTTGTCTGGAAGAGTCAGGAATCAGGTTCCAACTATTGTTCACTCTAAAGAGCGGTGACCCAAAGGGATGTGGAAATCATATTTGCTTAGAATATAGATTGAATAAGTATGGTGAAAGGAGAAAACCCTGGCACCCACCTTTCCAGATTTTAAGCCATTCATTCCCCCCTTGTTCTGTTCTAACGTCTTCCTCACGAGCACAGTTAAGTATTCTGGAATACCCATTGCAATATTATCCATAGTTTGTCATGATCCACACAGTTGAAAGGTTTTCATAGTCAATAAAGCATAAGTAATCATCTTTCTGCTATTGCCTACGTTCAGCCAAGATCCATCTGATGTCAACAATGATATCCCTTGTTCCACATCCTCGACTAAATCTGGCCTGAATTTCTGGCAGTTTCCTGTAGATGTGTTGTTGTAACCATTTCTGAATTATCTCCAGGAAAATTTTACTTATATGTGAAGCATAGAATCCTTCAACATTGGAAGTTGAGGCTTGAATTTTTCTTCAGTTCTTTCAACTTGGGAAATGCTGTGTTTTTCCCTTTTGGTTTTCTAACTCTGGGTCTTTGCATATTACATTATATTACACTTTGTCTTCTTGAGCTGCATTTTAAAGTTTTCTGTTCAGCTTTTTGACTTCCTCATTTCTTCCATTTGTTTTAGTATCTCTATGCTGGAAAGCAAGTTTCAGAGTCGCTTTGGACACCCATTTTGATCTTTTTTACTTTCCTGTCTTTTTAATATCCATTTGCTTTCCTCCTGTATGAGGTTCTTGATGTCATCCTACAACTCTGGTCTTCGGTCATTAGTGTCTATTGCATGAAATCTGTTCTTGAGATGGTCTCTAAATTCAGGTGGTACATATTCAAGGTCCAATTTTAGCTCTCGTGGAGTTGTTTTTATTTTCTTCAGTTTCAGCCTGAACTTGCATATGAGCAATTGATGTTCTGTTCTACAGTCTGCCCCTGGCCTTGTTTTGGCTAATTATATTGTTTTCCAAGGTCTCTTCCCACAGATATAGTCAGTTAGCTTCCTGTGTATTCCATCTGGTGAGGTTTATGTGTATACTTGCCTTTTATATTGTTTTAAAAAGGTATTTGCCATGACTAAGCTATTAATCTTGCAAAATTCTATCATGTGACCTGCTTGGATCATTTCTACTACTAAGACCGACCATATTTTTCAACTACTGATCCTTCCTCTTTGTTTTCAACCTTCACACTTCAATCACCAGTAATTATCAATATATCTTTATTATATGTTTGATTAGTTTCAGACTGAAGAAGTTGGTTGCTGTTGTAGAATTTTTCAATCACTGGCTTTAGTGATTGGTGTGTAAATTTGAGTAATAGTGGCCTTAACTGGTCTTCCTTGTAGGTGCATGCATATTATCCTACCTCAGACAGTGTTGTACTTCAAGATCTTGAAATGTTCTTTTTGACCATGAATGCGATGCAATGACTCCTGAATTTGTTTTTTCCGGCATAGTACACTAATGATTGTCAGATTCAAAATGGCCAATACCATTTCAACTCACAAAGCCTATGATATTGATCTTTATGCACTTCATTTTTAGCAACTTCCAATTTTCCTAGATTCATACTTCATAATTGTATATTCTGATTATTAATATATGTTTGCAGCTATTTCTCCTCATTTTGAGTTTTGCCCTATCAGTAAATGAAGATCCCGAAACCTTTACTCCATCCATATCATGATGATCAATTCTGCTTTGAGGAGGCAGCTCTTCCCCTGTTTTATTTGTATTACCTTCCAACTTGAGGGCCTCATCTTTCATCTCTATATATGGCAATGCTCTTCTGCTTTTCATAATGTTTTCATCCTCTGGTACGAGATGGATTGACACAGTGGCAGCAGACTGGGGTCAGATGTAACAATGATTGTGAGGATGGTGCAGGACTGAGTAGTGTCTCATTCTGTTGTGCACAAGGTCACTAGGAGTCAGAGTTGATGGCATTTAGTAACAACAATGGCAACAATCCAGTAAGCATATGTCCTTCTCCAAGGACTGGTCCCTCCTGATCACATGCCCAAGATATTAGTGACTAAGTCAGGTTATGTGACATGTGACAGTGTCCTGCTGCTATTCACAAGGGTTCCAGTGGCTTAACATTCGGAAGTAGTGTGCCTTTCCCCCCCAGTCTGTCTTAGTCTGGAAGCTCTGCTGAAACTTGTCTACCATGGGCGAACTCGCTGGTATTTTAAAATATTGGCAGCATAGCTCCCAGCATCACAGCAACATGCAGGCCACCACAATCTGCCAAACTGACAGATGAGTGGTGGACTCACAAAGTGGGAAAATGTAATAGATTTAACTATCCTGTAAGACATGAAATGTGATTGTCAACAACATTACTCTTTGTAAGCAGCCCTACTGGTGCCGTGGGGTAAACATTGGACTTGTAACTAAAAGGTCACTAGTTATAAGCTACCAGCTAGCTGAGGGAGAAGGATGAGGCCGTTTGCTTCCGTACAGACTTACAGCCTCAGAAATGCCATGCAGCAGTTGTGTTCTGTCTCATAGAGTTGCTCAATGTTTGAATTAACTAGACAGCAGTGAGTTTGGGGTTACCATCATCAAACATGCTGTTTTCTAAGCAACCTTTAGTGAGAACCAGGTTGACAAATTGCAGAGCTAAGATCCCAGGAATATCAGGAGCAAAGGCAAAGAAAGGTCCTGAGTCCTCAAGGAGTCATATAATTCTGACTTCCACCAGCTGTGGAATTTGAAGCTAAACTTCCTTAGATCTCCAGGGATGAGGCTGACCCAGCTGACAGGTGTCTTGGTTACACTCTGATTTAAAGCCTTATCAACTTGTTAAATTCCCCTTCTAAAGGTCTTTCTTCCTTTGTGGGGAAGCTTGCTGTTCTGATAGTTTTCCACTGTGTCTCACCCCAGAGAATGTGGCTAGATCGGCCACAGACAGGACCAGAGCAAACTCCTGTACAATCATGGTGTTTTTATTTGGCTCTGGTTCTGTTGTGTGCTTTGCTAACTGCCAATTTCAGTTTGTGACACTGCAACTGGCAAGCTAGCAGGCCAGCCTGCCATAATCCCCTGAGATGACTATGGATGCAAGCAGGCATCCTTTTCCATCTGGTAGAAGCTGCTTTTCAGAAGGTGGAAGGATCTGGGTGGCTAAAGTGCTGCCCACTGATGTAAGGGCAGAGGGAATGCTGCTCTTGTTACCAGCACTGATGAACACAACCGTTTTAAGAGAACAACATCGGCCCCGTGGACAGACACAGGTGGATCTCTGTGCCATTCCCAGGGGCTTTGAGACGATAAATTAGACTTTGATATTGGAGCAGCCGTTTCCTGTTTTTTGTTTTAAAAGAAACCAGTCTTTGTTTTCCTCCTTGTCACTGCAAAGGCAGCCACATGACAAGCAACCCAGCTTTTAGAGTGATCAGGGTGGCCAGAGCCTCTGCCTTCTAAAGAGTTCTTTGGAGTGGATGGCTTGGGAGAAGTAGATTCCCTGTCC